TATAAGATCCCCCCGAGCCTTCTCTTCCTCAGACTGAACAGTCGCAGCTCTCTCAGCCTTTCCTCGTATGAGAGATGCTCCAGTCACATTCATCATTCAGTGGCCCTTTGCTGAACTCTCTCCAGTAGCTTTGTCTCTCTCTTGTACCGGGAAGCCCAGAAATGGACACAGCACTCCAGGAGTGGCCTCACCAGTGCTGAGTAGAAGGGAAGGATCACCTCCCTCAACCTGCTGGCAGCACTCCTATTAATGGAGCCACAAAGACAAAGAGCTTTCCAGCCAGCTGGCCCCCAGCATATACTGATGCCTGAGGTTGTTCCTCCCTAGGAAGGTGCAGGACTTGGCACTTCCCCTTGTTGAACTTCATGAGGTTCCTGTCAGCCCATTTCTCCAGCCTGTCCAGGTCCCTCTGGATAGCAGCACAACCCTAGGCATATCAGCCACTCCTCCCACTTCTGTATCAACAGGAAACTTGCTGAGGTTGCACTCTGTCCCATCATCATTTTAGTTTTAACTACGTATCATTTGTTTTTGGAAAAGTTAAATCTAGAAAATAATGGAAAAGACATGTGGCATGGGAGAAATTCACAAATCAAATAGAACTTTTAACTAAGTATTTGATTTCTAACAAGAACAGGAGCTTGATTCAGTTACTTAAATACAGGTCTCCAGTGCCAGCTAAGATTTCCCTAGGCTGTTCTGTCTGGTCTCCAGCTTTCGTTGGAGGAGATGCAGGTCTCTTGTAGGTCCGGTGCACACATGGATGATCTAGAGCAAGTCAAATGGCATTAGATGCATACAGTTAGGCACCTAAAAAGGTCCCTAAGTGTTTTGTAAATGTTTGATATCAGTTTGCAAGGGTGCACTACATGCATTACAACGTGTGTAGCTCCACTAGCAATCATTACCAGGAAAAAAGGTGAGTCCGTATCTGCTGTCAACAAACAGAAAGTAAGTCTTATTATTGGACCTAATAAATGCAGGTGAAGGGGTAGCCTTCATGGTGTAGCACTGCACTTCCAATAGTGATGTTTATCCACGGTATTTTTATTTACTGTATCCAGCAGAAGAGCACCCATCTAATCCTTCTCTGATAAGTGGCCAGCTTCAGATGCTTCAAAGGAAGATACATATGTGCTGTATCGAAAAAGCTGTGCAATAAACTCTCTAGCAAGAAAAATGTCTTTCCATTCTTCTCCTTTAGGGGTTGCTTATGTCCTGAACATTTGTGTTTGTGTTTTTTCTCCCCACCTTGTCCAGTGTTCTCCCTATCCAGCTGAAGGATAACTTTCACTGAACCTACAGATTTCTTATCAGAATTAGATGGCTTAATGTATGTACTACTTGAGTTGCAGCCGTAGAGAAAATGTAACTGATCTGAACTGATCAGTTTGCCAGATCTCACTTTTTAGCCATCCTGACGTACTCATTCTTAGTTGGAATATCTGCACTTTGATTATATCAGCTGCTCCAAGGAAACAAAATTTTCTTCTTTGATATCTGCAAAGCCTTGGAGTGCAACACAGATTTTGTTTATCATGCATTATCAACAGGATCATCTCCCCCCCCCCCCAAAATGCAGGTATAATGCCTTTTATGGCTAAAGATATATTAACTTATTTTTCTTTTAAAAAGTTACATTATTACAACTGCTTACACATTAGTAGTTTTTGAAGCCTCCAGTACAGATGGTGGTTTCAAATTGGGGACATTTTAATAGAAGATATTTATTGCTAGAACTACCTTTGCAAATAACAGGATAGTAAAAATGCCATTTTTCTTATGTTATTACTACAATTTAGCTTAGGTGAATTACACCCGTGTTAAGCTACCACAAGTGAACAGCAACCCTGCAAGGTTATACCTTACTTGTATATACATCCAGTGCATGTTGTAAGAATTAAAACTAGTTCTTTAAGTTTCATAAGCAATCGAATACTTCCATGCTTCTGAAATTATTCAGTGCTCCGAGAGAGACACTGCTTTGTGAGAATGCACTAGAGGCCTATAGGACCCTAAGAAGTTTAGCTTGCTCATCACTGCAAAGTGGTTTACTTAACAGCACATGTGAAAGCATCCCCTGATTCCTAGACAGGCCCTTTACCCATTTTAAAAGGAAAACAACCCCCAGACTTCTTTGGGGATGAAAACTAGGGGAAGGATGACTACAAAATGAAGGAAGAATGAAGATAACATCAGGTCAGAGGAGGAGTGATGTCTGTAATAAAATGTAGTCCTAAGGAAATCCTTAAATAGTAAAACGTGTGTCAGTGATTAAAAAAAATGCACAAGTAACAGCATAACATGATGATGGAATTACAATCTGAATTTGGTAGTCAGTGTGGTGGGTTAACCCTGGTAGGCAGCTAAGCACCACCCAGCTGCTTGCTCACTCCCCCTCCCAGTGGGATGGGCAAGACAATCAGAAGGGCAAAGCGAGGAAATTTGTGGGTCAAGATAAAGACCGTTTAATAAATGAGTAAGAAAAAAACCCCCAACAACAACAAACAGCCCACAAGTGATGCTAAAGCAATCACTCACTACCAGCAGACTGATGCCCAGCCAGTCCCCGAGCACTTTTTGGATAAACTCCCACCCCAGCTCTTTATTGCTGAGTGTGCCGTTACATG